AACAGTGGTCCGATGAGGACATTCAGAAGAGAGATCGTCTGAAGGGCAACAGCGCCTTGGTCGCCGAGGGTTTCCAGGACGAGCTCGAGGCGCTGATGGCAGATGATGATGACTTGGGTCCAGGAGACCTGGACACCGAGAGCCTGGAGGCCTACATGGCTGAGCAGACGAAGATTGATGAGGCCATGGCCGCAATTCAGACACGGAAGACAACCTTGAAAGAAGCACGCTGGAAGCAGAAGCAGCTCAAGCTGGGTCGTGGCTTTTTCCCACCAAAGCCATACCAGAGGCCCGGTCAGGCTGGTCAGGACAGCCGCAATTCCCAGGGCAAGAGATGCTTTCGATGCAATGGTCCACATCTCGTGGCAGATTGCCCACAGAAGAACCAGCAAGCCAAGGTTGTGCAAGAGGAGTCCGCCGAGATCGCCTTTGCAGCGGGTGAGGTACGAGTTGAAGAGGCTGGATTCCTAGGAGAAGAGTGCTATGAGGCCATGGGCACTGAGAAGGCATTGGAGCAATGCATGGGGATCATTGACTCCGCTGCCACCTCAAGCCTGGGATCCGCTGAGGCACTTGAGCGCATCATGGAGGAGAACCTCCAACACCATGGAGAGACCAAGATGGACATCGATGTGAGCCGACGTCCCATCTTCCGGTTCGGCAACGGGCAGAGGAAGGACTGCTTGTCAACGGTGCGGGTAGGCATTGGGGCTGGCTCCCAAGCTGGGTCCATGGAGATTCATGTCCACGATACTCCAGGGCAACCAGTTCTTGTATCCAGAAAGGCCTTGAAAGGTCTTGGGGCAGTGATCGACTTTGAAGCAGGCTTGGCCATCTACAAGAACGTGGACAAGAATCAGGTAGTGAGACTCACTGAGGCCGACAATGGCCACTTGCTGATGCCCATCACCGGAAACATCCTGACTGGTGCAATGCGCCGCCAGACTCCGTTTGTTTCACTTTTTGACGAATAGGGGAGACGCTCCTTTGACGATGTGGACGGAAAGAATTCCGGTCAAGGGAGCCACTGTGTTTTGGGGAAAGAATCCAAATTTGATTCTTTTGGGTTAGATTGTATGACAATCTGTTCAGAGTGTCCTCACTGTGAACTGATGGCAGTGAGGGATCAGCAGTGTCACTTTTGCCAGGAACACGTTGACAATCAAGCTTTACATACACACATGATACACACACACACACAGCACATTTCCGACTCAAGCCAGACGTGTGAACGAGGTACGACTGTTTCCCGACCATTGCACTCTCCAGATGCCGGCGCCAACCACCAAGGCCGACTGGATTGCCAAGATGAAGAGCGTGGGCATCAATGTTCCAATCGAGTGGAATCTCATCCAGATCAAGGCCGCTTGGGCCGACTATCAGGAGACCAAGAAAGACAGTCCAGCAGAGATCATGAAGGAAGAACTCTCAGGCCTCAACTCGCAAGAAGGCCGACCTTCAGCAGTACCTGGGGGACATGGGGGTTCAAGTGCAATCCAAGGAGACTGTGGCAGCCATGTTCAACAAGGGCGAGGCAGCCATCATCCAGAAGTACGAACCGACAGGCAGCGAAACAGTGGGCTTTGGCAAGTATGGGACAATGACATTCGAAGAGGTGGCAGAAAACCACCAGGACATACCAGGACTATCTGACATGGTGCATCAAGGCTCTGAGCGAGGGTGAAGTGGGCCTCCGCACAGGGCTATTGCAAGACCATGAAGACGTCCGGACCGATCAAGAGTCCCCAGAAGACTCCAGGAGTTTCCTCAACTGGATATCAAACAAAGACCATGATTTCCAACTGGGACGACTTGCCGGAAATGAAGGCCAAGGCCAAAGCCAAGGCGATGATGAAGCCTCCCGAGGAGATCCCACTGCCACAGGTGGACTTCGATTCCGACGAAGAGAACATCATGATGCGGAAGAAGATCCAACAGTTGGAAGAGGAGAATGCAAACCTTCATCGTCAGCACAGCCGGAACAAAGACACCTTACCCGACAAGACAGCTCTGGAACTTTTGCGTTCATGGGGTCCTCACACAAATCAATACAGGAAAGCATGGCAACAATTAGTTCAACATCATCGTCCTTTTTTGAGAATAGTATTTTTTTCTGAGGAGGTTCAAAAACGATACAGTACTAACAGTAGTATTAGGTTGAGCAATCGGAATTGGAATGGAGCTGATCTAGAAACAGAGGAGGGTGTGCAGTTTGCTATCAAGATGCTACGTCAGC